TTCAGTAATAGTTGAATACCGCAAGATGATCAAAGAACATGTGCTGCCTCGGCTCTTAATTACGAAACGTTTTCGCCAACTCTGATTTTTTTTTTCAAATCAATGCAGAAATTAAGTACTGGAGAAAGTGGAAAATTGGTAAAACACCCTAACCTTAACGAATGGTTCATAACCATTCTTACAACGAAGCAATTTGTCGAGGAGCATGTGAGGTTTAAAAGTGAACATGACAAATTAACAGTGATACTGTACAAGAGTTTTTAAAAGTGACACTATACAAGGGTTAACTGATACTGTAGAAGGTTAACAGGGGAAAAATGTAAGACATGCAGAAGAGTTTAAAAGGGGGAAAAATAGAGACATGCAGAAGATTAACAGTGGACATGAGAAATGTTTTCATGGGCATGCAGAAAAGTTAAAATGATACATGCAGAAGAGTTAAAAAGTGAAATGCAAAAATTTAACATGTAGACGAGGTGTATTTAGGCTTTTAAAATGATTACATTGAGATAGCCAAGAATCAATAAAGAACATAAATAAAGCCACGAGGCATGTGATATGATGGAGATATGAATATATTGTATATGATGGAGATACGAGGTATGTTTGTGTAGGGATCGAGGGGAGTTGTGATGGATGGAGAACAGGTATGTTGTGATATGATGGAGATACGAGGGATGTTTGTGGGATGTGTATGGAGATGCGAGGTATGTTGTGATGTGATGGAGATACGAGGTATGTTGTGATATGATGGAGATACGAGGTATGTTGTGATGTGATGGAGATACGAGGTATGTTGTGATGTGATGGAGATACGAGGTATGTTGTGATATGATGGAGATACGAGGTATGTTGTGATGTGATGGAGATACGAGGTATGTTGTGATATGATGGAGATGCGAGGTATGTTGTGATGTGATGGAGATACGAGGTATGTTGTGATATGATGGAGATACGAGGTATGTTGTGATATGATGGAGATGAGTATGTTGTGATGTGATGAGATACGAAGTATGTTGTGTATGATGGAGATAAAGTATGTGTATATGATGGAGATAAGGTCTATGTTGTGATCAAGATATTAGATGCAGTATGTTGTGATCAAGTGATGGAGTACAGTATGTTGTGATCATGATGGAATAGTATATGTTGTGATCAAGATATTAGTCATATGTTGTGATCAAGATATTAGTCATATGTTGTGATCAAGATATTAGTCATATGTTGTGATCAGAATAGTCATTTGTTGATTGATCGAGTATAGTCATATGTTGTGATCAAGATATAGTCATATGTTGTGATTTGGAAGATATTAGTATATGTTGTGATAAGATATTAGTCATATGTTGTGAATGATGAGATATTAGAGTATGTTTGTGATGATAGATATTTGTATATGTTGGGATACAAGGATATTAGTCATATGTATGTGGATCAGATATTTGTCATATGTTGTGATCAAGATATTAGTGATATGTTTGGGATACGAGGTATATTGTGATGTAGGGATCATATGTTGTGATAAAGATATATAGCATATGTTGTGATTGATATTAGTCGAGGTATGTTGTGATCATGGAGATATAGTATGTTCATATGTGTGAGATCAGAGATTTAGTGATATGTTGTGATACAGGATATTTATGTCATATGTTGTGATAAGAGATGATTAGTCTATTTGTGATCAAGATATAAGTATATGTTGTGATCAAGATATAGTCATATGTTGTGATTCAAGATATTAGTCAGTATGTTGCTGATCAAGGAATTAGTCATAGTTGTGATCATGATAATTAGTCATATGTTGTGATCAAGATATAAGTCATATGTTGATGATGCAAGATATAGTCATATGTTGTGATCAAGATATTAGTCATATGTTGTGATCAAGATATTAGTCATATGTTGTGATCAAGATATTAGTCATATGTTGTGATCAAGATATTAGTCATATGTTGTGATCAAGATATTAGTCATATGTTGTGATCAAGATATTAGTCATATGTTGTGATCAAGATACTCCAGTAAAATGAGTGTCTCAGCACACAGTGAAGATAATATGGCAACAATATTCACGTAGTGTTAAGGACCAAACTAGCGACTTTGCACTTTGTATTTTACATCAAGGTAGTAGATCGTTCATCCGGATATTCGTCCCCATAATTTCCACGTCAAGAGCATATTTAAATCCCAACGACGTTTTTCTTTTTTTTTTTTTTACGGTGACTGAAAGTTCAGAATATTTTTGACTTGTTATTTATTTTTCCGTGTGTTATTTGCTGCCCTCAGTTACATGACACAATATAATGCCAACCTGAGATGATAATGACGATGCATAACCATCGTTTATAAATACTCTAAAAAAAGTTCTGACATCATTATCAGGGAGAAAAATTATTTATTAAAAATCCGGAAGCAATTATAAATTCTCAAATTGCAAAGTGAAGGACGTTTGAAACATAGTCCTTCCCTCTCTCTCTCTCTCTCTCTCTCTCTCTCTCTCTCTCTCTCTCTCTCTCTCTCTCTCTCTCTCTCTCTCCCCACGCAATATGAAAGGAAGATAAACGGTCTGATATTAAAGTTCTCGTCTGCGTGTGGAAAATGTTTTAATATCTTGAGACAAAGCTTGTAGATGTGTATGTTTGTTTTGATGTTACAAGCAGAAATATCTTTAAACGCTTCCTGGATTTCTTTCAGTGGAGGAGAGACAATTAACATATTTCTGTCTTGTATATCAGTTAAAAATCACAGACACTCATATACTCATTTGTAGAGTAGGTCCTCATATATCCATCTACAGAGTGGATCCTCATGTACCTATCTACACAGTGGATCCTTATATACCTATCTACAGAGTAGGTCCACATCTACAGAGTGGATCCTCATATACCTATCTACACAGTGGATCCTTATATACCTATCTACAGAGTAGGTCCACATCTACAGAGTGGATCCTCATATACTCATCTATAGAGTACATCCTAATATACCCATCTACAAAGTGGATCCTCATATACCCATCTACAGAGTGGATCCTCATATACCCATCTACAGAGTACATCCTCATATACCCATCTACAGAGTACATCCTCATATACCCATCTACAAAGTGGATCCTCATATACCCATGTACAAAGTGGATCTTCATATACCTATCTACAGAGTAGGTCCACATCTACAGAGTGGATCCTCATATACCCATCTACAGAGTGGATCCTCATATACCCATCTATAGAGTACATCCTAATATACCCATCTACAAGGTGGATCCTAATATACCCATCTACAGAGTGCATCCTCATATACCCATCTACAGAGTGGATCCTCATATACCTATCTACAGAGTGGATCCTTATATACCTATCTACAGAGTAAGTCCACATCTACAGAGTGGATCCTCATATACCCATCTATAGAGTACATCCTAATATACCCATCTACAAGGTGGATCCTAATATACCCATCTACAGAGTGCATCCTCATATACCCATCTACAGAGTGGATCCTCATATACCCATCTACACAGTGGATCCTCATATACCTATCTACAGAGTAGGTCCACATCTACAGAGTGGATCCTCATATATCCATCTACAGAGTGGATTCTCATGTACCCATCTACAGAATGAATCCTCATATATCCATCTACAGAGTGGATTCTCATGTACCCATCTACAGAGAAGGTCTTCATATACCCATCTACAGAGTAGGTCCACATATATCCAACTATAGAGTGGATCCTCAAATACCTATCTACAGAGTGGATCCTCATATACCCATTTACAGAGTGAATCCTCATATACCCATCTACAGAGTAGGTCCTCATATACCCATCTACAGAATTTTATCCTCATATACCCATCTACAGAGTGGATCCTCATATACCCATCTACACAGAAGGCCCTCATACACCCATCTACAGAGTAGGTCCTCATATACCCATCTACAGTGTAAGTCCTCATATACCCATCTACAGAATGGATCCTCATATACCTATCTACAGAATGGATCCTCATATGCCCATCTACAGAGAAGGTCCTCATATACCGATCTACAGAGTAGGTCCACATATACTCCTCTACAGAGTGGATCCTCATATACCCATCTACACAGAAGGCCCTCATACACCCATCTACAGAGTAGGTCCTCATATACCCATCTACAGATGTAAGTCCTCATATACCCATCTACAGAATGGATCCTCATATACCATCTACAGAATGGATCCTCATATACCCATCTACAGAGAAGGTCCTCATATACCGATCTACAGAGTAGGTCCACAAATACTCCTCTACATAGTGGGTCCTCATATACCCATCTACAGAGTAGGTCCTCATATACGCGTCTACAGAGCAAGTCCACATGTACCCATCTACAGAGGTCCTCATATACCCATGTACAGAGTAGGTCCTCAGATGCCCATCTACAGAGTAGGTCCTCAGATACCCAATTACTAAATATGTCTTCATCTGGTCATGTACAGAGTCAACCATACAGTGAATGCATCACGTAACATTACTTGCTCGTTCCTGTTTGGTTGACGATAAACTTAATAAATACGCTCTGGTTAATTCGGAGTTTATTCATTAATTAAATATTCTTAAATATGTAACTGGTGATTTGTAATATCTTACCTGATTGTTCACTGTACTGTCCCTTGGCACGGTGTTCTTAATTCACAGTATGTTCTAGTGTTCCCTTCACCCCCATTAAGCTCTTCTCACTAACCCATTAGCTGTTGACACCTTCCTTTAAGATATCGTTTCCCCACTAAGCATTTCCTATCTGACACATTTTTAATTCAGTATCATAATTAACCTTGACTTAGCCAGTGGTTTGGAAATTTCTACTCATTAACTTTGCTTCAATAATCTGCTGTCATTCACACTTCTACCCATTAACGTTGTCTTAGTATACCATTTTTATTGCCCTCCCTTTACCCATTAACGTGTGTTGCCATATACGTGACTGGTGCACTGCAAGTGTTGACATTGCAGGCCGTCTGGTGGAGAGCGTCACGGGTCGACCTCGGATGTGGACTCTGAGGAGGAAGGCGAGGAGAACGAGTACACTGTCTACGAGTGTCCCGGCCTCGCTCCGGTGAGTGGCGAGTGATGGAGTGACACTTGTCATTGTTGAGTAATGTTTAGTGTTTGATGACTGTGAGTAACCCACAGGTAAGCAACTCACACACAGGTGAGTGACTGTGAGTAACACACACAAGTGAGTGACTATGAGTAACTCACACACAGGTGAGTGACTGTAACTCACACACAGGTGAGTGACTGTAACTCACACACAGGTGAGTGACTGTAACTCACACACAGGTGAGTGACTGTAACTCACACACAGGTGAGTGACTGTAACTCACACACAGGTGAGTGACTGTAACTCACACACAGGTGAGTGACTGTAACTCCTGACTGGTCGACTGCTACTTGACGATCCTCTGACTGCAGTTCCACTCAGCATGGGATGTACTGGAGCTAAAAATGAATGTAGTCTTAGTTTTTAAATTATATTGAATTATATCGAGCAGTAAATGGATTATATACAATCGTGGGATAGTTATAATATGTCACACTGAAAATTAATTAATATATGGTGATAATAACTTTTCGTTCGTCGTAGGCATAACTACACTTAACTCACAGAATGCAAGGATGCAGGATGTAAGGGTGCAGGATGTAGGGGGCAGGATGTAGAGGGGCTGGATGTAGGGTATAGGATGTAGGGGTGCAGGATGTAGGATGTAATATGAGGGGGTGCAGGATGCAGTGATGAATGATGCTGGGGTACAGGATGCTGGGATACAGGATTCAAGGTTACAGGATGCAGGGGTACATGTTGCAGTATTGTAGGACGCAGAGGTACAGGATGCAGTGGTGTAGGATGCAGGGGTACATAATGCAAGGGTTCAGGGTGCAGCGGTATATAATGCAAGGGTTCAGGGTGCAGAGGTTCATAATGCAAGGGTTCAGGGTGCAGAGGCTCATAATGCAAGGGTTCAGGGTGCAGAGGTTCATAATGCAAGGGTTCAGGGTGCAGAGGCTCATAATGCAAGGGTTCAGAGTGTAGAGGTTCATAATGCAAGGGTTCAGAGTGCAGAGGTACAGGATACATTTTCTTAAGTACTCGTGGTAGAGCCACTAATCCTGTAAATACTTTCACCCAGACTTTAGTCTTGCTCATAGTTAACATTTCTCTCTGGAGTTTATAAACATTGAAAATTCTCAAAAAAAAGTATGGTAACTGTGTCAAAGTGAAGTTCTTTACATAATCGTCATAAAAATTTGTACAGTGAATAGAATAGAAAAACACACGCGCTAAAAAATTCTTCGTGCTTATATAAACATAATTTTTAGGCGTTTCATTCACACAAGTTTTTAAAATTCATTGGTGGTATTTTTTTTTAAATGCAGTCATGAGGTCAATTGAAACCTCTAAACCACTAAATATTATTGCTAGTACAGCTAATTTATTGTGAGGAACCCACAGCTGGTGACTCACAGTGAGTGGTGTAGTGACCAGTGACTGAGTAACCCACAAGTGGTTGACTCATGGTGAGTGGTGTAGTGACTGAGTAACTCACAAGTGATTGACTCATGGTGAGTGGTGTAGTGACTGAGTAACTCACAAGTGATTGACTCATGGTGAGTGGTGTAGTGACTGAGTAACTCACAAGTGATTGACTCATGGTGAGTGGTGTAGTGACTGAGTAACCCACAAGTGGTTGACTCATGGTGAGTGGTGTAGTGACTGAGTAACCCACAAGTGGTTGACTCATGGTGAGTGGTGTAGTGACTGAGTAACTCACAAGTGATTGACTCATGGTGAGTGGTGTAGTGACTGAGTAACTCACAAGTGGGTGACTCACGGGTGGTGATGTGGGGGTAATTTGAGGGTAATGACTTATATCCTGTTTTAAAATAGGAATTACATTAACCAACTTCCACATATCAGACGCTTTACCTGTATGCAGAGATGTATTAAACAAGGCAAGTTAATGGTTCACAAAGTTCCATTTAACACTCCTTTAAGAACCCTTGGAAAAAAAAGGTGTGCGTGTGTGTGTGTGTGTGTGTGTGTGTGTGTGTGTGTGTGTGTGTGTGTGTGTGTGTGTGTGTGTGTGTGTGTATGAAGAAGGTGGTAGGTGAGTTTCAGCAACATTATTGCTACCCCTTCCTTAGCTCTAACTCTGAGAGAGTTGTTAGGTAAGACACATATGCAACAGTTAGGTATCTTTATTTCGAAACGTTTCGCCTACACAGTAGGCATCTTCAGTCGAGTACAGAAAAGTTGATAGAAGCAGAAGAGACTTGAAGACTATGTAATCAGTCCATCACCCTTGAAGTTTTGAGGTGGTCAGTCCCTCAGTCTGGAGAAGAGTATTGTTCCATAGTCTGAAACAATATGGAGTTGAAGTGACAGGATGGAGCCTTATATAGCGCCAGGAGGTGAGACGTAGGTCACTAGTAGAGGTAAGAATATAGACGTTGAGAGGTCAGGTCCCTTCATCTCCATATTGTTTCAGACTATGGAACAATACTCTTCTCCAGACTGAGGGACTGACCACCTCAAAACTTCAAGGGTGATGGACTGATTACATCGTCAAGTCTCTTCTGATTCTATCAACTTTTCTGTACTCGACTGATGAAGCCTACTGTGTAGGCGAAACGTTTCGAAATAAAGATACCTAACTGTTGCATATGTGTCTTACCTAACAACCTGTTGGTATTTTATACCATTATATTGTTCACTCTGAGAGAGTTAGAGCTAAGGAAGGGATAGCAACTATGTTGAAGGATCAGTTATGGAAGAAGAGGGGAATATAAATGTATAAATTCAAGTATTATGTGGATTAAAATAATGGTTTGATGCGAAAAGTGGGTCATAATAAGTATGTATGCACCTGGAGAAGAGAGGTGTGTAGAGGAGAGAGAGAGATATTTTGGGTGATGTTAAGCGAGTGTGTAGGAACTTTTGAACCAAGTGAGAGAGTAATTGTGGTAGGTGACCTAAATGCTAAAGTAGGAGAAGCATTTAGAGAGAGTGTGGTAGGTAAGTTTGGGGTGCCAGGTGTAAATGATAATGGGGGCCGTTTGACTGAACTTGGTATAGAAAGGATGTTGGTTAGAGGTAATACATATTTTAAGAATAAATAAGTATACGTATGCAAGATATGATGCAAAGTGTAATGACAGTAGTTTGTTGAACTACGTATTGGTAGATAAAAGACTCTTGGGTAGACCTCAAGATGTACATGTTTATAGAGGGGCCACAGATATATCAGATCACTTTTTTAGTTGTAACTGCAGTGAGAGTAAAAGGTAGATGGGATACAAAGAAAATGGAAGCAACAGGTAAGAGAGAGGTGAACGTTTGTAAGCTAAAGGAGGAGGCAGTTAGAGTAAGATATAAACAACTTTTGAAGGACAGATGGGCTAGTGAGAGCACAGGTAGTGAGGTTGAAAATGTATGGGGTAGGTTTAATAGCGCAGTGCTAAAATGTTCAGCAGAAGTTTGTGTTTACAGGAAAGTGGGTGCGGGAGGGAAGAAGAGCGATTGATGGAATAATGATGTAAAGAAAGTAGTAAGGGAGAAAAAGTTAGCATATGAGAGGTTTTTACAAAGTAGAAGTGATCGAAGGAGGGAAGAGTATATGGAGAGAAAAAGAGAGGTTAAGAGAGTGGTGAAGCAATGTAAAAAGAGAGCAAATGAGAGAGTGGGTGAGATATTATCAACAAATTTTGTTGAAAATAAGAAAAAGTTTTGGAGTGAGATTGGATAGGAAAGTTATTAAATGGAGTTAGAAGTATCGGGAAGATGGAGAGAATATTTTGAGGAATTGTTAAATGTTGATGAAGATAGGGAAGTTGTGATTTCGTGTATAGGGCAAGGAGGAATAACACCTAATAGGAGTGTGGAAGAACCAGTTGTGAGTGTGAGGGAAGTGCGTGGAGCAGTGGGTAGAATGAAAAGGGGTAAAGCAGCTGGGATTGATGGGATGGAGATAGAAATGTTAAAATCAGGTGGGGATATAGTTTCGGAGTGGTTGGTGCTTTTATTTAATAAATGAATGGAAGAGGATAAGGTACCAAGGGACTGGCAGAGAGCATGCATAGTTCCATTGTATAAAGGCAAAGGGGACAAAAGAGAATGCAAAAATTATAGGGGAATAAATCTGTTGAGTATACCTGGTAAAGTATATGCCAGAGTTATGAACAGTAGATGAACAAGGAGGCTTTAGGAAGGGGACAGGGTGTGTAGACCACGTGTTTACAGTGAAACATGTAAATAAACAGTATTTAGATAAGGGTAAAGAGGTTTTTGTGACACTTATGGATTTGGAAAAGGCATATGACAGAGTGGATAGGAAGGCAATGTGGCAGATGTTGCAAATGTATGGAGTAGGAGGTAGGTTACTGAAAACAGTGAAAAGTTTTTACGAGGATAGTGAGGCTCAGGTTAGAGTATGTAGGAGAGAGGGAGATTATTTCCCAGCAATAGTAGGCCTTAGACGAGGATGTGTGATGTCACCGTGGTTGTTCAAAATATGTATAGACAGGATTGTAAGAGAAGTGAATACTTGGGTGTTGGCAAGAGATCTGGGTTTAAAAGATAAAGAATCTAATACAAAGTGGGAGTTGTCACAGTTGTTCTTTGCTGATGACACTGTGCTTTTGGGAGATTGTGAAGAGAAGTTGCAGAGGTTGGTGGATGAGTTTGGTAGGATATGTAAAAGAATAAAATTGAAAGCGAATGTAGGAAAGGGTAAGGTGATGAGCATAACAAAAAATATAGGTAACGAAAGATTGGATATCAGGTTTGAGGGAGAAAGTATGGAGAAGGTGAATATATTCAGATATTTAGGAGTAACTGTGTCAGCAGATAGGTCAATATAATTTGAGGTGAATCATAGAAATGAAGAGGGGGAAAAAGATGAATGGTGCACTGGGGAGTCTGTGGAGACAAAGAACTCTGTCCATGGAAGCAGGAAGGGATTGTAAAGAGTATGGTTATACCAACGCTGTTATATGGGTGTGAAGCATGGGCGGTGAATATTGCAACAAGGAGAAGGCGGGAGGCAGTGGAGATGT